CGTAATATTTCTTAGTTGCCCTCTGCATACGTGACTTCTCCAGTAATCAATACTAGATACGTCTCTGATTTTTGCATCCTTTGTCCCTAGTCTGATACCTAGAATGTAGTGGGAATTCAATAAATATTTTGGCTAAATAATGCCTGTATCTTCTTCTTGATGAATCACAATACACATTAGCTTATCAAAGATAAATGCTTTACACATACATGCAGAATATATATGGTCATATAAATATATAGATGTACATCTAGGGATAAAATTACATGTAGGCAGCTACACACACACCTCCCAAACACACATACACACACGTGTACACATAGAGCTATCTTTGTTTATAGTACACCAACATCTCTTTCATTTTCTGTGATCATGGAATTCAGTTATATTACCTATTGTTTTCTAAGATAAAAACAGAGAAAGGTGATGTTAGATGATGTGTTTCATGGGAAATCTTATTTTCTACATACTTTTGACCAGTTAGGGTTAAGGAATATTTTTTAAATTCCCTATAACCTCAGAGAAGTTATTTTAACCTTTTTATGCCAAAATTTCCTTCAGGAAAATGATGATATCAGTAATTCTTTCATTGTGTTGTGAGCATAAGTGAACTCACATTTATATGAGCAGAGAGAGCTTAGATTGGCGCTCTAAACTTAGGAAGTACTCATTAGATATGAAATATTTTTATAAGTAATTTGCTACAGTATAATTGGGGGGATGAGATCTTGAATTATAAACTTGTAGCCTAGTTTTCCTTGAAGTGTGTTTTCTAAAACCCAGTTTAATTTTAAAAAGTAGAAAACCTTGAATACTGTTTAAATCCCAATTCTCTTATTTCTTCTAAAATATTTTCATCTGATGATCTTTGGGTGCTTTAAGTTATGTAAAATTTAGGACGTACTTATAACACTGTGCAAAAACACATATTTTGGGTTACTTTGGCTATGGTTACATGATTATGAGACTAATACCATATGTGATGTAAGAAAACATCAGAAAATGTATCTTCTAAAAAACCTCTACTACTATGGATTTTAATAACATCAAATTGCTGAGGTTTTCATAAAATGAACTCAGAAGTTTTACTTATTCATTTACTCTAATAGCCCTTTTCCTAGTTTAATTAAGCATTACAATTACCATCTATTTTCTAAGTTTGCAGTGATTCATAAATTAATAACATTAATGATAGCAAGAGTAAAATAATAATGAAAAATTTACATGTATTAAATGCTTACATTGTGTAGTATAAAATGCAGTCCCCATTTTGCTTTGAATACTGTTTGCCCCAGCAACTTTCCTAAGGTTTTTTTTATTATTATTCTAAAACTTACTTTCTTATAATTTTATGTTTCTTCATCATCTGTTTTATCACTTATTTATCCTGCTTAGTCTTCATTCTGTACCAAAACTTTCCAGTTCCAGTGGATTATGATTGAAGCTATGGGGATCTAGCTCTTGTCAGAAAAGACTATAATTTGAGATCTTGACTCATCAAATCATCTATGGAAAGTCAATCAATCGATTACCTTCTCATTTGATACATAGCATAATATATTTCACATATAATACACATTTTATGCTTATTTCTATAATTTTCACCCAAAGGAACATGGATCCTTCTTTCATCTATCACACTGAGCCCTCACACCTTAACAATGTATTCAATCCTCCACCAGTTGGAGATAACTCCACCACTGTAATAGACCTTCTTAAAACCAGGCCATGTTGGAGGTTCTTTCACTATGAAGTAAATGTTTCCCTAAGAGAAAACCTTGCTATGATTAGTTGATCCATAGATGGGTATGACAGCAGGGAACTGACATGGAGGAAATGTGCATGAATTTCCTTGGGCCGTCCTAGCAAAATATACCAAGTAGGCAACTTAAAAAAACAAAAAACCCCCAGAAGTTTATTTTCTTGCAGTTCTAGGCCAGTGAGTCTAAATTCAAATTGTTGGTGGTCCCAGGCTTTGTCTGAAGTTGCTGGGGGTGAGTCTGGTCCTGGCCTTTGTTCAGTTTCCAGTTTTGCGCCCGTCTTTGGCATTTCTTTGCAGGAGACTCCTCACTTCCGTCTCCGCCTCCATCTCTTCATGTGGTTTTCTCTTCATGTATCTGTTTCTTGCGTAAAAATTTCCTTCTTCTAAAGACACCCAGTCAATTTGGAGTTAAAGTTCACTCTAGCCAGTAGGATCTCATCTTAATTGCTTTCCTATTCCAAATAAGGCCACATTCTAAAGTCTTAGGTGGACATTATTGGGGGCGGGGGGAGATACGCTATTCAATTAAATGCAGAAACAAATTCAGTTCAGAATAATTCAAGGGACTTGAAGGGACTGTTCCAGTGAGGGCAAATTTCTGCCTCTTTCAATTAATCAACCCAACACCAGATATTCTTAAGGGGCTTAGACTTGGTATTTACTCCTGGAAAATAAACAGCATGGGAGTGAGAGCAACCTGGTCGGTGTTGAAGGAAAATCCCTGGTTTTTATCCTGTTTATTGCCTTCTTTGCATGGTTGTTTTGTGATGTGTCATTAAAAAGTTAATCATCTGGTTGAATGGAGATGATGACAATATCCAGAGAAGATTTCCCTGGTTACCTGATTACTAACGTGGGATTGAAGAATCTAAGACATGATCGTGAAACACAAACCTGTGGCCAAGCTCCAGAACCACTCAAAGACCTTCAGTTTGAATTCCCCAGATCGCCTTGTCAATAATCTTCTAATCTTGCTCCTCCAAAGAGTCAGTGTCTAATTGAGTGTGGTCATCTCACTTCTCAGATAAAGTAGAAACAAATGAACACACGTATTTCACTCAAGGGAAGAATATCACTTTCTGTAGTTCTTAAAGGCCATTCCTTCTTTTGTTTGTTTGTTCGCTTTTTCCCACTTCCAATCATGCACTTACAGGAAACTTACCATGAGATTTTAGTTGTGGGCTGCAGGATGGGTGACTCTATAAAAATAGTGACATATTTAGAGTGAGCACCTTTTTTATTAAATCATTTCTGCCTTTAGGGCTCTTCAGGTCTAACCCATTTATTGTTGTGGCACTGGTGAGTTTCCCTGATGTACCTAATAGCAAATGAGGGATTCTAATACGAATTTGGTACTAAGAGCTTAACAGTTAGTAGGCTATGACTTCAGGTCAATAAAGGAAGCAGTAGGATATGAGCCAATATTTTAGTCAATTGATTTGTCTCAATTTCAAATATCCACATTCCAAAGTTATACTGTTGCTGCTGATTTACATGTCCATTCTAAATATTTGGCAGCACTCAGAAACAGACTCAATTAACCCAAACAAAATCTGAGATAAGTTGAGCAAAAAGTAAAATTCACTGAGAAGCAATTCCGTAGTTCACAGAATTGAAGAAGAGACTGAAATACCAGACAAGATATCTTTAGACAAGACACCCAGAGACATGATGTTCAATATACGGCACACACCTAAAAACGCTCCTGGATAAACTTGCAGAGGAGGGTTTTTGGTTATGAGTCATAAAACTCTGGATCGATGACCCTTTTGTACAAGTCTCTTATTATATGTTTGCAAATTCAACAACAGTTGTCTCACTTCAAGAACTCTGTGACACAATTTGCCTTATCTATGCATGATACATTTCAGAAGGCTCTTACAGAATGTACCTGAATATGTGTTTTTCAGTGATATTGGTATATTTGGTGGGTGAATTAATGACCATCTCTACTTCTCATTTTAGACTCCATGCTTAGGAAAATAAAGGTGACATTTAACCACAGCCAATGTCATTTTTCTAATATGTAGACATTTTACCTTATTACATTATACCATATTTCTTCTCAACAGTGATTATTCTGGAGACTTGTTGATTCATTAAATGCTGTATTTTTACATTTTATCATCAAAATAGAAACAAGATGGACCCTTATGTGAAACTGACATATTGAAATATACCCAGGAGAAAAAAATATCCCCACAGACATTTTCATTCAACAAGATTTAAGAAATTACAGATTTGCATTTATATATAAAAACCATGGAGTAGATAAATCTGAACCCTAATATAAAATGTATTCCACATAGAAAAGGTGAAGTTTTTATCAGTCAGCTAAGTCACCTTTCGGAAAGATTTTTTTAATGTAGTCAAAGTTTCTGCCATAAAATTTATAAATCATTTTTTCCTTTTGAATATTGAAAAGAAGATAATGAACATCTTGTCCCTTATGATTTAATTCTTTTCAAACTTTCACTAAAAAAATGTGCTGATTCTTCCATAGAGGAGATTAGTAATTCATAAACTGAAGATTTAACAATTTCCCCTTTCCTAACCCCCACCTTCAATCTCTTTCATGTTTTTTCTTATAAAAAGCAAATGCTAAGTAAAATAAAATGTGATTGCTTTCAAATTTTCTGAGTATTTATGAATGTAAATAAAATATAGCTGTTTAACAGTATTTTTGTTACTAATGTTATTACATTATCCATTTCATAGGACAGATTAACAAGTATAGATTAATGAGATGATTCAGTATCTTTGAGTTTGAAATTTTATCCCACTGCCTTTTTAAGGCAAGTAAGAATTTTTTAACTTGGTTTTATTTCATGTTATTTTAGCTTCTATAAAAGGTAACATGACTACGGGGAATGCATAGATCATTTTAGATTATAATTTGCACATAGAGGACTCCCACTCAAAAAATTAAGTTTCTTGATTTCATTTATTCATTCAGTAATTTATCCAGCATTTATTGTGCCAGTAGAGCTGTGTGTCAGGCACTTGGCTAGGTGCCTTTGGGACTCAAAGATTTCAAATGAAGGAAATTAAATGCAATTTTTGATTTAAGAGCAACTAATATCACCAAAATCCTTTCTCCTTCTTAGCAGTAAATCTAAATGCTAGTAATAATTGGTGATACTCTTTACAAGTACCACCATAGGAATCATATTCTGAGGTTTTAATCAATATTTATTTATTTATTTATTTATGTACTTACTTATTTACTTTGATACAGGATCTGAGTCTGTTACCTGGGCTGGAGTACAGTGATGTCATCAGAGCTTGCAGCAACCTCAAACTCCTTGGGCTCAAGTGATCCTTCTGTCTCAGCTGCTCAGGGATCTAGGACTACAGGTGTGTACCACCATGCCGGGATAATTTTTATAATTTTTTTGTAGAGGTATGGTGTCAGTATGCTGTTCAGGCTGATCTTGACCTCCTGACCTCAAGCAATCCTCTTACCTGGGCCTCCGATAGTGCTGGAATTATAGGTGTGAGCTGCTGAGCCTGACCTAATTGACATCATTTTCAAACCAGTTTGAAAATTAAAAGTGTCTTTTTCTGTTCAGTCTTAGCCATAATTGATCATTCACTTAGAATTTATTAGAATTTATGCATACTTATTAATACCTACTTAAGAGTTATTCTTTCAAATGTGGATTTATAATCTGATCAGTTTATCTTCTTTCTATTACAGAATAGAAATGAGCTCAGAGGGGGGCACATGTGACTCAAAGGAGTAGGGTGCCAGCCCCATATGTCAGAGGTGGCAGGTTCAAACCCAGCCCTGGCCAAAAACTGTAAAAAAAAGAAATGAGCCCAGAAATAATTTATTTTTAATACA